TCCCCTGTATGCCCACTTAATGCAGATTCTTGTGATTTCTCTCCTGAGTTGAAAAGAAATTTTTTTTGAGAGCCTCTTCAGTACCAGCCCCTATGCTAGGCACTGAGGATGTAGTAGTGTTTGCCATTAAAGAGCTCACCGCCTTAACAGGGAAGACAGATACTATATTTGAAATTGCAGTAGAATGGAAGTTAGCAAACTGAGGTCTAGTGCTAAGGATGGTTTTCATATTTTTAAAGGATTATAAAAAGAGACTGTGACCCACAAAGCCTAAAATATTTACTGTTTAGCCCTTTATAGAAAAGATTTGACTAAGTAGTATGACGAAGTTAATAGAGCCATTCTCTCAGTGTCATCCTACAGAAACAGCTTAGTTTGATAAGTGTGAACCTATAGTTTCTGGACACCAACACTCTCTTAGTCTAGTCTCTTACCACTACCATTTCTCACTTTCCTGGAACTTTAGCCACATTGATGTACTTGTAGTTCTGCAAACATATCATGCTCTTTTACCTTTAAAGTGGCATGTGCCTTTGCCTCAAGTGCCACTCTTTTCTTCCCCTTGCACCTTTGGTTCTTCATCTGACAGATCCCTGTGTATCCTTCCTAACGGAGCTGGGGGAATCCTTTCCTCCAGGAAACTCTCTTGCATAGTTTGGGTGGGGTACCCTTCTTCAGCATCTTGTGCTTCCCTTTATCAGCACTTAACATTATTAGGAATTACCTTTTTATTTGTGTGCTCTTGTGGCTTGGGAAGGACTATCTTACTTACTTTTGTAGCCCCATCACCTGGCATGTACTTCCTCAATAAATGGTGGTTGAGTGAATGATTGACATGCCATAAGTATATTAAGAACTGGAAGTTCAGAAGAGGGAGAAATAACGTTTTGTTGAGTACGTGAAAACATTTAAGAATTGAGGAAAGGTTCATCACTAAGGTGAAATTTAAATTGGTCTTTAAGTATTGTCTCAAGGCTAGAAACTGGGCAGAATGCCAGAGACACAAGTAAAACTAATTGAAACCATTAGTTGGATCCATCAGCTTTGCTATCTTAAATCTCACCTATCACTCAGCCTGCTCACTAATGTTCTATTACCATCATAGATTACAGTGCAATAATGAGTGGCCCTGCTACTTACTGTCTTGATAAACTTGGTTAAGATACTCTCTGCAACTCAATTTTGTCATCTAGAATATGGGGACTAATCCAAGGATTAAGTAATTTTATTACTCATTGTCCTCCTTGTTATATGTCTTAGCTAATGCTAAGTTGATTGCTTCTTGAATGGCAAATTTGGGAAGCCCTGGAAGAAAGACTGCATTATGAAGGTTCAGGGGTCTGTGAGAGCTAGAGAACCAAGGTTCTTTTTTTGCTCTTGAAAAAGGAAAACCAGGAATAAAGTGTGAGATTATAATTTCTACCGAATTGTGGATTAGGGTCTTTCTGGATTAGAAATGTGGTAAACCTGACTACACAGTAGCAAATCAAGGAAAATGAGGAGGAGATTGGGACATAAAACAGATTTTAAAAAAGAATTCTAAAAACTGGAAGTTACTGAATTTTCGCTTTCTAGAGGTTGCCCACATCCTTTATAAAAAGTTAGCTCTGTGGTCTCAGGGTTGAATTGTTTATGGATTTGCATGCTTTCTAACCTATTGGTTATTCTAGTTGAAGACTTTAATATTTAACACAAACACTTTTGGCTCTGTAGTAATAAAATATAAAGCATGAATAAACCACAGTATTTGAGGTGCCAAGTATTAGTTGTCAGCCTAAAATTTATAATATATTGCATTTTATGTTTTATAGAAAAATTGTGATTTTAATTATACTTTCACAGTCTTGCATGAATATGGTTTTATTGCTTATAACCAGATTGAGATCTATAACATTTTTATAGTAATCATTGACTCTGTTTTAAAGGAATATTTTGCTAAGTATGTGATATCCTCAAGGTAGCAAATGAGGAAATAGACATATTTAGTTGGCAAGTGCACATGATTAACTAGCATGGACTGATTGTTGACCAGCTTGTTTGTGTTTGTCTTTTTTTTCTAATACAATAACCAGGGATTAATGAAAATCAAGTTTCGTCCTCAGACAAGAGGTAAAGTGGTAATATTTCACACACTCTCCCCATACCCTTTCAGAAAAGAAACCAAGACAGTTAGAACTGAAGGTAATTTAGCAACGGTGACACTGTTGAGGTTTAGGTTGCTAGGCCTTGTTTAGTGTAGCAGCCAACTTATGGAAGCATGTGTATAATGCTGGAGGGCTTTTTCTTAGCTTTGTTAAGTAAACTTTAAGGAAAGAGAATTAGCATTATTTTGAGATATTAAATATAGATTGATGAAGAGTGGTGGTTCTCAGACTTTATGATCTCAGGACCCCTGAATGTCTGACAACAAAAATATAACAAGATTCCCATCTATTTCTGTATTCATTCCATTTGGATATCACACACTGGAAAACGCTACCATGTACTCGTGAGAATGAAACTAAAACAGGCAAATAACATTATGAAAATGGTCTTGCCCTCATGAACCCCATGAAAGGGCCCCCAGACCAAAATTTGAGAACCAAATTTTGTAGAGGAACATTTTATTATGTAAAAATTCTTTAAATCTTTTGGTAGGTTGGTATTATAACACTTATTAAATGATGACATGGGTTAATAGAAACTACAAAGAACCAAAAACTTAAAATGCAAGCAACATAAAATTTCAACTAAAACCAAAAATTATCTAATGTATTCATTCATAAGTTAACTAAAAAAAAAAAAAACAAAAACGACAAGACACCTGATAAAATACTGCAAAACAATTGGCAATTTATAGTTATCAGAATTGTAGATTTTGTATCTTTTCAATCAAAAAATTCTTTTTGAATGTTATATAACATACATATAAAACAAGATAGAAAAATAACATAAACTTGTAACAGTGGCTGTGCATACATTGCCCCCCTACATGTTTCTCATAGGCAATAGGTTGGTTATGGAACATACATAGCATGAAACTACTAAGCTAATAAAGAATAGACAAAAACACATGTCATTTGAACAGTAACATACAAGTGACAGTCCCTGTATTATCTTTTGATACCATTATTTTTTCCAAAAATATTGCTTGGTTTTTATTTGTTCTGTGCTTTGTTTTTCAGGTAAAGAAGGAAAATTCGGCCACCTGATTTTGTTTTTAGCTTACTGCTGTCCTGGTCAGAAGAAATTATTGGTCTATTGTTTAAATTACTAAAGACAGCAAGATATTTGTAAATTATCTTACAATAAACAACTTACAATAAAGTTCGATTTCACTGTCTTTACTTAGTATATAAGAATAATATAGTTTTCAAAATGACATGTTAAAATATTTAAAACTTAATATGCTATTAAATTTTTTTGAAAATTGACAAGGCTTTCTGAAACAATCTTAAAACATCTGGCCTCTTTGGGGTCAGGGTGGAAGGAAGAGGCCACAGACCACGCCTCAGCCCGGCTTCCATCCTTTTGCACTGTCAAAGAGCAGCCAACACAATGAAGTAAAAATGTGATTGCAGTCATCCGCTGTTTCTCATATATGGGATATAGAATTCTAGGCATACATTTAGTCTAATAAATTTTTAAATATATTTTGTAAGCACTGAGAAACATTCCCATATGATATTAATTCCATAGTCGCATTTAGATAACCATGAAGATTGGATGGCACCCTAGCTGGTTTGGCTCAGATGATAAGAGCATTGACCTGTGGACTGAAGGGTCCTGGGTTTAATTCCAGTCAAGGGCACATGCCCAGGTTGCAGGCTTGATCTCCAATAGGAGGCAGCCGATCAATGATCCTCTCTCATCATTGATGTTTCTATCTCTCCCTCTCCCTTCCTCTCTGAAATCAATAATACATATTAAAAGAAAAAAAAGATTGGATGCCTAGCTGATTACATGCAGTGAGATGGCCATGCCAGAATCTCCAGGTTTTCCTCCCTATTTATTTAAAGTAGGGAACTTAGTGTGTGATTATTTTCTTACAATAATATATAGAGTGGTGGGCAAAAGTAGTTTGACAGTTACGAGTGCGCAAAAGTTTACTCTTTTTAAATATTTTTTATTGATTTCAGGGAGGAGGGGAGAGGGAGAGAGAGAAACATCAATGATAAGAATCACTGATCGGCCAGGCCCCCAACTGGGGACCAAGACCGCAACCCAGGCATGTGCCCTTGACCAGAATCGAGCCTGGGACCCTTCAGTCCACAGGCTGACACTCTATCCACCGAGCCACACCAGCTAGGGCAAACGTTTACTCTTATATTATTATTTATTTATATTTGTCTTTCCATATGAACAACTGTAAACTTTTGCCCACCCCTGTAATTTCCAAAAAGACTACAAAACAATAAAAAATAAAATATAAAACCTATTCTCTTGAGTTTTAGATAAACATTAAATAAAATACATATAGTGTGGCTCAGTGGTTGAGCATCAATCTATGAACCAGGAGGTTATGGCTCAATTTCCTGTACAGGGCACAAGCCTGGGTTGTGGGCTAGATCCACTATGTGGAGTGTGCAGGAGGCCACTGGTCAATGATTCTCCATCATCATTGATGTATTGATGTTTCTCGCTCTCAGAAATCATAAGTTATATATATATATATAGTTTTTTAAAGAAAAAGAGTAGAAAAAATGATCGTGCATTCTTATCGAACAGCAGTAAGACAAACTTCTCTAATGACAGAAGTATTTGTCACTGCCCTGGCTGGTGTGTGCATTTGGTTGGAGTGTGTTTCTGTACTCCAAAAGGTTGTGGGTTCCATTCCTAGTCAGGGCATATACCTAAGTTTCGGGTTTGATCCCCAGTTGGGGTGCATCTGGAAAGCAACCTGTAAATGTTTCTCTCCTGCTCTCTAAAATCAAATAAACATACCCTCGGGTGATGATTTAAAGGAGTGTATGTCATTGATATACTAAGAAATCCCATTTCAATGAAAAAAAGATGTCAGTTTTAAAAATGGGCAGTGAATTTGTAGTCAATTGTCCTTTTTATCCATCAAATTGTTAAAGACTAAAGACGGAAAAAGTTGCCTGGCTTGTGGGTTCAACTTGCATCAGGGCAAATGCTAGGGTTGCAGGCTTGATCCCCAATAGGGGGCATGCAGGAGGCAGTTGATCATTCTCATAATTGATGTTTCTATTCCTCACCTCCCCCTCTCTGAAATCAATAAAAACATAACAAAAAAATTTTAAATGGTTTGAATGGTAAATGTTTTTTAAAATAGATAAAGTTTTACAGTAGGAGGAATCAATCTCATAACGCTGTTAGTGCAAGTTTACCATCTTTTTGAGAGTGATTTGGCAGTGTCTATTAAATTTTAAAATATACAGTTTGAGTCATTTCCACTTCTAATAGTCTAGTCCAGTAGTCAGCAAAATCGCGGGTCGCAAGCCACATGCGGCTCTTTGGCCCCTTGAGTGTGGCTCTTCCACAAAACACCATGTGCGGGCGCAATTGAAACTTCATGGCCCATGCGCAGAAGTCGGTTTTCAGCCTGGGCCAGTCTATTTTGAAGAAGTGACGTTAGAAAAAGTGGGGTTACCTTCGCTGAGGTCGACCCCTCAGATTGAGGATGTTTTTAGGAAAGGCCAGCTTAGGAGTACCCTAATTAAGATAATAACAATGTACCTACCTATGTAGTTTAAGTTTAAAAAATTTGGCTCTCAAAAGAAATTTCAATCGTTTTACTGTTGATATTTGGCTCTGTTGACTAATGAGTTTGCCGAACACTGGGCTAGTCTACAGAAGTACTCATACTGTAAAGACTTGTCCAAGGATGCTCATTCAAGATCAGCATGTGACCTTTCAGAGCAGTGCAGGTAGAGACCTAAAAGCTTTCAGAGAAGAACATCACAAAGTTTCAGAAATAAAAGTGGCTTCAAGCCAAGGAGAGAGGAGGACTAAGAAAATCCATTGTGATAACACCAATCTTGAACTTACAGCCTTCACAACTGTGTGAAAATAAGTGTTTAAGCCCCCAAGTCTGTGCCATTTTGTTATAGCACCCTAGCAAAGTAAATACACTCTAAGGAGACCAACCAACTACTTAGCAAGTGGACCACAATGCTCATCCTAGAAAGAGCAGCCATTTGTGTTGACAGGAATAGGCGCATGTTCTGGATTTATGGATATAGATTTGCCTTTCCTGCTTATGGTGTTTGACGTACTGGTGTCCTGTATCGCTGTGTCAGAGCAAGGGAGCCATTTTACAACAAAGGAGGTTGGGAGTGGGCACACGACTGTGGAAATTTGGTCATAACTGATAGACCACTAGAGCTGTGAGTCTGACAGTGCAGGGGAACACCCTTTGAAGGCACAACTAAAGCACTAGCTCACAGGCTAAGTCCCCCAGTATGCCACATACAAAACTAAGTCAATGACTTATGTGTCTGTGCTGCTGGGTTGGATAGATCACACACAGGTGGAAGCCAGTTTCCCTGCTGGGAAACTGTTCTGGTCTCTGCAACTCTGGCTTCCCCAGGTTGACAGTTTTGAATTCCAAAAGGGGGGGTGGTGGGGATGTTTTCATCAGGGTAGACAGAGTCCCACTGAAATATTACCTGGGCACTTAGGCCAGGAGACAGCATGCAGAGGAGTCAGTGTTGGCAGGAGTAATCGACCCTGATCATTGCTGTTACACCATGAAGGCAAGGAGAAATGTTCGGTACCCAAGTGGTCTGGTTGGGTGCCTCTTGCCTAATGTTGATGGTCTGCAGACAGGTTTAGCAGCCACAGTCTGAAAAGGGCATAAAAACCAGGGGCTCAGACCTCCTGCAGAAAGGGTCTGGGTGGTGCCACTAGGTAAGCCACTGAGGACCAATAATGGTGCTAGCTTTGGTGAGAGAAATTTAGAACCGTGGAGGAGGAAGACGATCAATGGAAGCTGTCCCTCCTATTTGTTTTTTCTCTAGGAAAAGAGTCTCCTCCTCTTCCCCCTTCCCTCCGCCCCCCACCTCCAACTCCCAAATCCAGGAGGAGCTGTTCCTCAAATTTATACCAAGAAGTGAATTTAAGGGTACAAGAAGTGGACTAAAGTTGCCATGGTTTGAATATTTGTGTACTGCCAAAATGCATGTTGGAATCTTTACTCCCAGCATGATGGTATTAAGGTGGAGCTGTTAGGATGTGATTAGATCATGAGAGTGGGTGGAGCCCTCTTTAATGGGATTAATGCTCTTATAAAACAGATCCCACAGAGCTCCCAGGCCCCTACCACCTTGTGAATGAGAACAGAAGTTGATTGCTGACTTCCAGCCTCCAGAACTGTGAGAAATAAATCTCTGTTGATAAGTTACCCAGTCTATGGTACAGTGGAACTTCAGTTCTTGAACCTAATTCATTCCAAAAGGCTGTTGGAGAAGCAATTTGTGTGAAAATCAAATATTTTTTTCCCATTAGAAATAATATAAGTTGAGTGAATCCATTCCGGACCCCCCAAATGATTCCCTTTTATCACCTTTCTCATATATACAGTATATGTCTAATGTACTATTGAATCTATAAATAATTCTTTTCTTAAATTTATCAAACCACCCCCTTCTTAAGTGAATTTTTCAGGGGCTAGGTGGGTGGGTGAGTGGGAAATGATTAACCAAAGAACTTATATGAATAACCCAGGGACACAGACAATAAGGTAGTGAAGGCCTGGGTGGGCTGGAAGGGGTCAATGGGGGGGGGGGGGGAAGGAGACATCTGTAATACTTTCAACAATAAGGTTAATTTTAAAAAAAAGAATTTTTCATAGATCACTGCCTCTGAAATGCCATCACCAGCTAACTGCTTATCTTTTTACCCAATCAACAACAGTTTTCTACCTATTCAGTTGCCTGTGGTTATTGTTTTGTGAGCACTTTCACACCCTTAGCAACATTAGCACTCTGGATGGCCTCTTTATGTTTTAAAATTGTGCTAATTGTTACCAGCAACAAAAGCATTCTCTCTTTTGTTTGTTGCCTAAGAGAGCTGCAGTATCAGCTTTAAAGGACTGTCAGGTTGAAAATTGGAGACATTTTTCCTGTGAACACCTTTGTAGAGAACCTAATTGTTTGAGATGGCAGACATTAGAGAAATGAGTTTTGACTATATTTTGTCATGGCAGCCCAAACAGACTAAGACAGGAGAGAATATTATAATGCACGGCTTAGATCCCCTTAGGACTGAAGGACTTCCGCCTTCCTTGGAATTGCCTCTGCTGCAGAAAGCACTTTGCCTACGATTACACACCCTTTCCAGGAAAGCCGTCACACAATGAGGGC